GGAATTACAAAGAAGCAGAATGTAAAATTGTGAATATGTTAGTATTTTAGTTAAATCCTAACTGAAATGTGTATGTGTAGACATACATACACATCTGGAAGTTACTACACCAAAATACTAACAAAGATTAATTATAGATGTGGATAATTATATCTACAATCTATATTGGGGTTATTGATATTTCTCATTTCTATTTTTAACCTGATCATCAGGTTCTTTGACTTTTATGGATGTGTAATTAGAAATTTTTGGTTTGATTATATATGCCCTCTCTATCTTCCTAAGAAGTTAGAATAAAAAAGCTTTGGAGATGACTACTGTTAAAACACATTTGCTATGATTAAAATTCAAAATGATTTCAGAAAAAAAAGCTTTGGAGGAAAGAATAAAAAAAATTAAAAGAGAAAATCATCAATACCAAAATCATTCTAAAAAATTGTTTTTGGGTGGTACTGGGATTTGAACTCAGGGCATAAAGAGCTGGGGGCATGGCTACAGCACTTGCCTAGTAAGCACAAATCCCTGAATTCAAACCCCCGTGCAAATTCAAATAGCATTACAATTCTCAAACATGAGAGATAGTAAGGATAGAGTTGTAAATTCTATTTCTATTTCCTTGTCTTCAAAATAAGTTGGATTATTTAATTTTAATATTACTGCCAATAGCAGTAAGACTTGATATAGTCAGCAGCTCAGAGCAGGTCAGGAGAAGTGCCTGTGTAATAGTGAAAAGCATGTAGAATCTACATCTATTCTGGCAACTTGAGTGGAGACTTTCAAATTGAGAAAATGAACTTCTTCCACCAGTTAGTAATAAAATGCAGACATGAAACTAAATATCTTATACCTGAAAAATTTATTTATAGTCCTCTCTTCTTCACCAATGTAACTAAGGTAGTCGGTGTGCAATAATAGGATGTTTTATAAGTTACTTATCTTTTTCACATAGTGCTTGATGATCCTATAAATTCTTTGACATGAGGAAACTGTGTTGCATTAGTAGGAAAGATTGAGGGCTTGTATGACTATTGTGTGCCCAAAGAACGGTTCTGTCAAGTTCCGTTGTATTAGACTAGAGAAAGACATTGGAAAACGTAGTTAAATTGCTTTACCTTTACACTGTAGGCCAATTTCTACATCATCTGATGTTGCTTGAGATTTGGTACTATGTTCTAGCTTAAGTGGTATTGGGGCTTGATGCTTGTGTGAATTCTGCAGGAATCCTGTACAGTTGTTGATTACATGTACAATAGCATTTAATTGATTTCTACTACATTTGGAAGAGTGTGAAAGTATTTCCTTTTTCTTTGTTTAACTTTTTACCGTGAAATACTATGAAATTATAAGTCACATTCTTCAACTATGTAACCTTTAAGTATGTGCTCTATGAAGTAATACATTTATTAAAAAGGGATTACATTTATGGGGGAATATTTGTTAGAAAATGGGGTCATATGCAGTTGAAAAGGAATTAAGGATAAGGGAATGTATCACTTGGGCCTCAGATGATTTCTTCATTCATTTTGGGATTAATTCCTCATTACATACTCCAGATCTTTCCTACTGAATTCAAATCCCTTCCTACTGACCCAACACTTTTTCCACCTGTGAAACTATGAATTAAATATGTTTTTAATTTCTTTTTTTAAGAAGCATTTTAAAAGACTAAAAACCAAATATCCTGAGATATATTGAATATAAAATTTTACCACATTGAAGATTATCCAGTTGTGCCATGAAGTTTATTTAGTTGCATACAGACCTGAAGGAAAAAATCTTTCCCTAGTCACTTGTGAGTGTATAATTGAATTAAAACAATATTGATTAGGAAAGTTGTAATACTGACCTTTAAGAAAATTTTATCTGTATTTGTGTGCTTATGTACATTGGCATAACTGATGGTTCTGTTACACTGCTACAGTACTTAATATATAACTCATGTGGTCTAAGGTTTGGAAACTTCCTTATGGAGCATATTAATAGAGTATCCCTTCTTGCTATATAATAATTCAGCAGTAAAAAGTGAGGGGATGTCATTGCAGTTATGCATGATACATGATCATTTGAGTTTTTCAAAGCTTAAAGAGTTGCTTCTGACTTTTAAATTTGTGATAGTTATAAACACTGCTTTTATCTGTTACTTTGTATGTATGTGCGTATATGTATATATGTGTGTGCATGTATGTGAATGTGTATGTATGTTTGTATATCCACTGCTAAAGAGATGAAACTGAAGAGTACTGATCTGATTATCCACTCTATTGATAACCTTGTTTTCAGATGTGCTGAGCATTTTCTTCTCAGTTCTCTATACTTTCTGTTCCTTATTTAGCTCTTGAAACTCTCTTCCCGGAATCCTGCTCACACCATACAGAATTTCAATCATCTGTGATATTAGTACAGTAACTGAAACACAAAGGGGACATAAGGGGAAAACAGTTTCATAGTGTGGCCTGACATAGTGTTAAGGGTTCTCTTCTTTACTATGCATCTCCCACAAGCAAATAATATCTTCAGAATGTTTATTTTTATGAGAGACATGTTAAAAAACTTAGGGAGAACTAACATGATATCTGTAGCATACTATAAAAAGGTTCAACAGGAATTTCAAAAATTGATAAAGTAAGCATGTCAGTTTGTGCACTTTTTATGTGTGAACGTGCAGGGAGAAAGCAAGAGCACTCACTTAAGCAGATGTACAAATATTAAAAATTGGTGAATTTTGGCAAAGAATATAGACATTTATTTGGATTTTTAAAACCTAGTATATGCTTGAAAATATTCAATATAAAAGTTGAAAAGATCAAAGACACCAGGGAGTAAAAGCACATTCATCACAGTGTGACAGGAGAAGATCACCAGTTATACCTACATGGACCTGTATCATGAAAAGCAAGATACAGTAACTGTGATTGTGCCAGTGCTATCTGGATGTTTTATTACCTTAAGCTCATGTGCACTGATCTCAAATTTAATTTCAGTTTTACTAGCTGGTGAAATTAGAAATCAGAAACAAAAAAAGAAAAAAGGCAAAATAAAACTGAAAGCTGGCCATGTTGCAAAGAAACTTAAGCAGTTGTTACTGATGCCATGAAAATAAATAGCAAAATGACTTTATGTATCAAGAGAACGTTCATGCCTTTCAGTCTAATAATTTTACTTCTTAAAATCCTAAGAAAGAAATTTAGAAGACATAATTAAATTTGACTTCAGGATTATGTTTGATCACATGGCACTCCTTGATTTCTGGACAGAAAACAAAAAACAAAATTTCTCCATAAAAAACTATGGAAGTTCAATTTGGAAAAAATAATCTTCATATTAACCAACAAAATCTCTCTCTGCTCTTTTGGATTTGTAAATTGTCTGTCTTCTGACTTTTCTTCTCCTTTGTTCTCTTCTTGCCAGTTAAATATAGATGATGCACAAATAAATGTCTGCCTTTGACCTTCATATCTCTTCTCTTGTTTGGTAATTTTATTTGGTCTCATGGCTTCTACTACTGTTTGTGTGTGGATACCTCTGAAATTTAAAATTCCAGTTCTGCTCTTTCCGGAGCTCCATTTGTGCTGGCTCCATTGCAGCTGCTCACTTTTGATCTTTTGACTGTCCTGATCCATATTTCAACTTTATATCAAAAAAATTTCTACCTTACTGATTTTCCTTCCTAAAGATACTCTTCTGGGGACCAGATTTCTATCATGAAATCTTTGGTTGTCATTTTTTCCTCATTCTTACTCGGATTTAAAAAACCCTCTGTAACACTTTGCAGTGTTTTTTATAAAATGCATGTGGCATGCTAGTTTAAGCTGTTTTTTTTTTTTAAATGCAGGTATTTACGATATGTTCTTAATTGAGCTCCTTGCATTCTTGTCTCCTCTTAAATGAATCTTTTCCCAGAAGTCCTCCTGCAACACAGGTTTAGACATCACTTTCTATATTTGATAAAGATGTCTTAGTATATATAAAACGTATATTGAACTGCCACATTTAGTCCTTAGGGCATCTGCTATATGCTTTGACTGTCTTTATTTTCTTCCCTCAAATCATTTTTCTTTCATCGTCTTTACATTTCCCTCTTTCTAAGGCTTGTCATTTTTTTGCCCAGTATCTCACCATTTCTCTGTTTTTACATTTTCATATATTACTCATCCTTCAAGAATTGACTTTCAAATTGTCTTCCAGCTGGAAATAATACTTTCTTCCTGCTAGCTCCCAAAGGCCTTTTCTAACTCTTTGTTATTGTAATTAGTGTCCTTTCCATTGTACTGGGGTTACTTATATGTTTGTATGTGTTTGAAACTTTTCAATTTCAAAGTAGAAAAAGAAAATAAAAGACCAGAGACACCAGGGAGTACAAGCAGGAACTACTCATCAGAGTGTGATAGTTTGTTACTGGTTGTTACTAGATTTTGAGTTCTTTAGATTTGGATTTATGTCTTACTCTGCTATTTTTCTATGTACATTATTTGGTACATAGGTCATTTCTAAGATATATTTATAAGTAAATGTATTAAAAATTACTTTGTTTTAGATGTATTAGTTGAGAAAAGAACAAAATTTTGAAGATACTTTACTTGTATGTCAAAGATAATAAAGATCATAAAGATTTATAAATATATGCTTGAATATAATTTTGTTTTAAAAAGTTTAGGAAATTTTATATATGATCTTGGATCACGGACTCAAAATCATTTTCATAAAGATGAGACTTTTAAAGCTATTAAAGATAAACTTTAATAGCTTTCAGTGTATTCAGTCATTTAAGCAGTATTTATACAATACTTTCAAGCTGAAATATGTTTTTCTTGAGTATTTTTATAACATACAGCTCACACTTTATGTACTCCCAGTTTGGTATTAGAATTTTTTTAGGACCTTCTTGATTTTCTTAAATGGTTTGGTTTCTTCTTCTACTTCTTTTGCTGATGATGTGTTTTATTTTTCTTAGTCTGTTTGTCCTGACAGAACTAACATTTAGAAAATGTTCTGTTTTGCAGGTATCCTGGTCAGATATAGGAGGACTGGAAAATATCAAACTGAAATTAAAGCAGGCTGTGGAATGGCCCTTGAAACATCCAGAGTCATTTATCAGAATGGGTATTCAGCCACCTAGAGGAGTTCTTCTGTATGGACCACCTGGATGTTCCAAAACAATGATAGCAAAGGCTTTGGCAAATGAGAGTGGACTGAATTTTCTGGCCATTAAGGTAAGGTGTTAAATTTTTAAATAATTCCTTTCTTCTGGCTTCTTTCTACACCCATTTTTTGATTACTATCCTTAAGAGAACATACAAAGGTATCTCTTAAGAAGCAGCTAATTTTTATTTTTATTTGAGGTGGCTGACAATATACTATAGAAAGAAGAGAGATAAGAAATAAATTAGTGCACATAATCAGCAAATCATGGTGGGCAATGAGAAGACTATTTAGTTTCTTGGTTCTCACTATTTCTTATAGCCATGTAACAGAAACTAATCTTTTGTTTTTGTTTTGTTTTAATTGTACTGATGACTTTTGCTTAACCATGACTTAATTATAAATATAATAGTGAGTTCAGTATTTACATACATTAAATTTTCAAATACATATGACACCTTTTGTGGTAAAACTCCAAATACTTTAAAAAATACTTGTCAGTCAGAGAATAGTATTTGTTCATTGTTGTTATCTGGATTATATACAGACATGTATACACATATATTTTTTTGGCTCATTGCCCTGCCTTCCATTACTTGACATACACAGTCTTACTTAATACGTACTTTTACATTTACCTTACTACCAGATATTAATTTTGTTATTAATTTTTATGTAACATTATTATATATCCAGTTACCAAATACACATATATAAATCCAGTTATATGGATGATGTCACCAAAGTAAGTGCCTAAATATGTTAAGAATTAATTTATTTAAGAAAAAACACATGATAACCTGTTTTGATATCACCATGGATTTTTATGCATGACAAAATGTATTTTCTATCTTAGAGCATTAAACTCGTTGGCAATTTGAAAGCATAAAAGCTATTTCAGAGTAGTTTGTAAAATTTTGACATTACTTAAAATGTATATGGAATGATATAGTTAAGCTGGTTTTTTTTCCCCAGTATAGGAATTTGAACTCAGGGCTCACACTAGCAAGGCAGGCACTCAACCACTTGAACCATTACCTGGTCCTTTTTGCTTTGATTATTTTTTGGATAGGGTCTCATGTTTTTGCCCAGCCTGGCTTGTACCATGCTTCTCCAATTTCTGTCTCCCTCATAACTAGAAAACCAGGGGCACACCACCATGCTTTGCTTTATTGGTCCAGACTGGCCTCAAATTGCAATCCTCATATTCCCGGCCTCCTGAGTAGCTGGGATTATAGGCATGAATCACTGTGCATGACTCTAAATTATTTGTTCTTTAAGAGTCAATATCTTCAATATATTTTTGATTAGTTTTATTCTGGAGATATTATTCTACTATTTTCAGTTATGGTGAATTATAACTATAGTTTTAAAGATTATAGTTTTAATTGTTGGAGCAATTTTGAAATTTTTAAAGACATCTTGATTTCTGTTTGGTGTCTGTCCTCTTACCACATGGGCATGGCTGTTTTACTGGCATTCCCTTACTATCCTCTCTCCATTTCTCTGTTCCTATCTGTATAGTCCACCATTGTATATTTATATTAGGATATTTTCTGTCTACTTGAAATATAATACTTATTTGATGAGAATCTACCTCATAGTCATTTAGACTTGAATTTAAGAGCACACTTATTGTTTAGAAACTACTATCTCATTTTTTGTGTGATTTGAGGTATAAGTTCTAGATGCTACTGGACAAATACTACTTTTCTACTAGACAGCCTTAGTATTACTTAGAAGCACATTACTAAATTTCTTTGAATATAAAACGTTTCATAATTTTGAGCAATTGCACTTTTAGTCTTTTTTCACTATGAGGAAACTATAAATGGTTCTGGTGTCTCAAACATGTTCATGTAAAATAACTATCCAATAGTTAACTTTTTAATTTATTTATTTTTATTATTTTTGTACTGGGGGGTCCATTGTGACATTCAGAAACATTCTTGCAATATATCATAGTTGAATTCACCCCTTCCACCCTTCTCCTTTATCCCCAGCCCTTCATTCCAAATGTTATGTGAGCTTTTTCCATTAAAATTTTAATTCTTTTAAGTCACACACAGAAGATGTAAATGATGTTAAGATATTAATGTGGGATTTTGTTCTGTATAGGATTTAATATAATTTGACAGTATTGCTTAGTTTTGAATCTAAGCAGAGTATATATATATATATATTATATATATTATACATTCATAGTACAAGGGGGAGTTGAGGATATTTTTTATGAACAATGGGGTTCGTTTTACTGTTCTTTTCAACTTTAACAATTTTCAAAATAAAAAGTTGGGAACATGAAAACTTGGTCTGATTAATACTTGTGCAGAGAGTTAAAATAGTTAATACCATTTCGATTACAGATGAGGAAATGAAGTCAAAGTAGTTGTAAATTCATATTCTTCTCATTCTAGTTTTAATTTTCTGTGTGAAAAAATGTTGCCTTTTGGTTTCAGTGTGCATGTTTGTTTTCTAAAGAGACTTAGGTGTTATAGTTCAGTTTGAGCTCTTCGAAATAATAAATAAATATTATGCATTTTGAAGGAGACCAGAAAAAAATGTAGAGTGGAATTTTCTTTTCTTACTCTTGAGAAACTCCCTAACACTTTTCACAAAAATTAACTTTATTCCCTAAGATAAAGAATTTTGATTCAGGATTTTAAATATCTTTCTCTATGTTTGTGAAAGAGCCTTTGAGCTTCCCCTGTGTATCTTTTTCTAAACAAAGATTAAAATACATATTTACTTGAGTTAAGACTTCACTTTGGCTTGTATGCATTCTTAATATCCTCTGGCATGTTTATGTGTTTTTGTGTAGATTGCAGCATTTGACATATGCTTAAATGTTATGAAAATATTTTCCATTTGAAACTTCCTTTCTGCTTCTCTCTTGTTTTTGTATGCTGTACTACAATCATTAATTATCTTTGGATTACTGGACTGTTACTGATTCTGGAAAAAGGAGGGATCTGTTGGAGTCGTGGCTCAAGTGGTAGAGCATCTGCCTCACAGGTGCAAAGCCTTAAGTTCAAATCCTACTACCGCACAAACAAATAATAAAACATTAAAAAAAAAAAAGAGGATCTGATCAGGATTTTCAACAAGTCTTTTGTTAACATTGTTGGAGAGTACAGGAGTGTCAGGCTTAGTATATCCTTGACTTCTTGAGAAACTTTTTTTCAGTATACAGAAAATGTATAAAATATATCCATTTTCAAGGAAAAAAGTGTAGTTTACTCAAAGCAGCACACAGTTCAAAGTGATTATTATAATTCATTTAATTAGATCTCTTATTCTGTTAAAAGAGGTGCAAGATTATCTAAATTTGGAAAATTCCAAATTCAGCTCTAGGCTCTGTTTTTAAAATTATGTTGATTATTATACAGTTCAGAACTTCCATGTTACACATAGTGTATGAAAAACTGTTTACATACCTCTTACATATGGAATGCTTTCAGATTAGTTTCTGGGATTACATTTTAGGATAATGAACCAGTGACTATTGTAAGCTTGAAGTGCTGGTATTAGAACTGAAATTTGTTTTTAAAACTTTATTCCCCTCAGTCTGAGCTCTTTTTAGTTTTTAGTGCTGGGTATCAAATCTAGAGCTTTAGGCATTTCAGGAAAGTGCTCTACTACTGAGCCTCATTGCCAGCCCTTGATTTTTCAAGACAGGTCTCTGTAGCCCAGACTGGCTTTGAACTTGTGATCCTCCTGCCTCCACTTCCTAAGTGCTGGAAATACAGATGTATACTATCATACCTGGCTTAGAATCAGACCTCTTAACCACTGTATTATTTGCTCTTCCATTTTCATTTACATTTTTTAATTTTTAAAATGAAGCTAGTATCCACTGATTTTTTTTTCATTAATTATACCAATAACCAGAAAAAGTAATTTAGGCAGTTTCTATAGGGTAGGTTCAGAGAAATAGAAAGATGCTTCTGAGGAATCAGTGGAAAAATAATTTTGTTTCTACAAGACGAAGAAAAGAAAAAATAGCATGGCTTTGCTCCAAGCATAGAAGTTGATTGCGTTAATAAGAAAGTGTAATCACTGCTGAAGAAACGGGAAACTGATGAGATGTGCCTGGGAAGAGACTGTTAGTTCAATAATGTGGTACTTGAAGTTTACCTGGTAGTGTGTAACTTGTGCCCTTGGGTTCGAGTAAGTCACAACAAAACTAGCATTAAGCTAGAATTCAGATAGCTTTTGTCTACTTTCTAACCCTGGCAGTTTCTGCTTTTTTAATCTAAAACAAGTTGTCTTTGTTTGTTTTCTCATCTGTTAAAGTAGGATACATTTGTACAGTATATATTTTGGAAAGGATTCCATTTAAAAAGGCAAATAAAAATGGTCTGGGGGTGGGCATAACTCCCCACTCTTTATATGTGGGTTGTACATACTGACTGTTTTTTAAAGAATTCACTACAGAGGGAAGAGCTATTTCATAATGGACAAACTGAACAAGCAGTACCTCAGCCAAGTGATTATGGTTAACATCGTCAGTGTTTTGTTGATAGTATATATCCTTGGATAGATGTGGTGAGATCACACTTAAACCCTATGATCTTCCCCCTGAATGAGTATAATCCCTATCTAACTATCAAAACACATGAGGAAGACAAAATTGAGTACTACTCCACAAAACTGTCAAAATTACTAAAAAAAAAATAAAAGGGATAGTGTGAGAAAATTTCACAGCCAATAAGATACCAAGGAGACAATAACTAATGTAATGTTATGTTATCCTTGATAGGGAACAGCAACAAAAGGACATTAGTGAAAACTGAGGAAATCTGAGTGAACTGTGGACTTTAATAATATATCAGTCTTGATTCATTGGTTGTAACAAACATACCATGTTAATTATACGGTTAATAATAGGAGAATCAGTGTGCAGGGTTGGGTGTAGGCAGTGAGTATATTAGAGCTCTTTGTACTGTCTGCTCATCTCTTCTGTAAACCTTAAACTTTACTAAAAATAAAGTCTATAAATTAAAGGTTTGAGTATCACAGATTCAGGCATGTGTAATCCAGTGAAGTAATTGAAGTTAATAAAGCCAAG